TGTAATGCATTATGCGCCAACAGCATTCTCCAAAAATGGGCAACCAACAATCACTCCGAAAGCGGGCAACAAAAGTAAGTCGTCACTGCTTTGTTGATCCTTTAGAGGATATCTCACATAACTTAGTTCATGATTTAAATCCACATGGTATAAGATCAGACATAATGGGTCTACGTACCATATGTACCGATGGGCATACTGAAGAATAGTCTGTGTTTCATCCCTTAACTGTAACAAAATAATCTGGACGTGTAGGAGGGGGCTGTCATTAGAACCTCCTACTTGTTGCTGACTAACCTCCACATATTCGGGTTATGCTTGAATGTGGAATTCATTAAAATTTGAATATGCAATGTGTGAGCTGAATCAAATCAATATCGGAAATTCTTTATCGCTAATCAGGATAATCTCGGTCTCATATCGATAATCCGCTTTAGTAATGCGAAAGTCGCACAGGGGTCAAATTACTGAAAACTTTTTCATATTTGACAAACACTGGAACATGACACCATTTAAGACTTGTTAATACTTAGTACCATAAAAGAAGTATGTCTGAAACGATGTTGGGGACGAACAAGACCGATAACGCCGGAGATTCTCTTCTCTGCTTCCTAATTACGGTGAAACTGAGAGAAGATTTAGTTAAAATCCATGATAACATTATTGAAGAGCTGTTATCAACAACATTAAAAGCCTAGAATGATCATACTGACAATACAGTCGGTATGGTTATCCCGTGTTAATGATGTCACTGGAATGCTGCCTGGAGCAGCTACGCCAGACTCTTCGATCCTGAACTGCATAACTCCACTTTGTGTTCACTACCTGCTCGATATATATGCGTTACTTGGAAAAAGACATATATATTTTAGAATGTTCTCGTTAAACTATTAAAATTCCGTTATATTTTACAGATATTGAAATTGGTCAACGACGCGGCTTTTCCAATCTGGACGTCTGGAAAATCAATAAGTTATACAACTGCACCGGCTATTCAGGTAAGTTTTCGGTTCTCTGTGCAAAAAAAACTTGTTCATTGAACAGTAGAAATCTGGGTAATACACTTTATCAAGAGCTCTGTGTGGGTTTATTGAAAACGTATACAACTTAACGGACCGGAGCGTTTCAATCTCAGGCAAGTTATTAATTATTCATTTATGCACGCTTCAGCCTTTAAAATTTCCAAATATACTTTGCACTTAGCTGCTAGCTACTCCAGCAATATTTATAATTTTGTTCTTTGGCTCAATAGTAACTAAATGAGCGGTAAATATTAAACAATAACTTTATGTTGCTTGCGTCCGTTTTAAGTACTGGAAAATTTAAGATGGTACTAAGTTGCTGATAGGAATGATGAAGTTAAGTAGTTTTAA